AAATGAAATTCTTTGTAGGTATACTATATATTATAAACTGCCCAAAAAACGAGGGGGAAAAAAATGAGACATGTTTAACAACGACTGACACCAAAGCGAGCGAGAATAATTGAAGTCTACATTCTTCATTGTTGCCATCTTAAAACTTGTCTTGTTTTAACATATTATATATGCGGTGATTTTTAGAATTGTAATTTCTCTCTTTATATTCAACAGGCATCCTTGTATATATAATATATACACTTTTATTGTACGCAGTATGTACACAATTTTTTGTAATAGAGAAGAATTCAGATTACTTTTTTTTTCTCTCTTGAACTATACTTATTTTGAATGTTTAGCTGCATGTTATTAACAGTTAAGATTCTTGCATTAATAATTACTCCCCCCACTACTATTTACAAGTTGGCTGTTTGGTTCGACTAAAATGTAACGAGACACTATCCAAAAAAAAAAAAAAAGGTATTTAGTGTCGGTTTTAGAGTTACTTTAGTAGCAGTTTATATTGCTGAAGATGACATGAATAGTGGTTTGTCAAACTGCTACTATACAAAGCATTGTGAGTTATATAGTAGCAGTTTCCCAAGCTGCTTTTACCATAGTTAAAACGCTACAAAGTACGTAATGGTTGGTCCAAGTCAAAATGTTTTCTCAAGTTAAAATTAAGATAAAACTAAAAGATTATTTCATAAATAGGACCAAAGTAGTAATAATAAATAGAAAAAAACATCACACAGCAGGGGATCAGATTAGTTTGGATGGAATTTCTAGATTTTTCAGGATACTGATAGAATAATAAATAAATAAATAAATATTAGACAAAACATATGTGCTTCTTATATGCCTTCACCTTTGGATTGTCGGTATAATAATGATGGAAGAAAAGGTGAAAGAAGGGACCATCTTTTTCCTTGGGAGGCCGGTGTGCATGAAAAAGTTACTTAAACACTAAGAATGTTCATGATGAATTTGTACACTTCTTTTTAGGTTCACGTTGAATGAATGAATGAATGATGCACTGAACAAAATAATATAAAAAAGTATAACACATACACTGCAAAAAGCAAATATGATTTCAACCCACATGCATGCAGATCTCTGTTTGATGATGATGATGATGATAATACGGGAAAGTTCCATCATCCCAAGAACTTTCATGGTGGTTTATGTGCGTCCATTTGTGAACCTAGATGAGCAAGCGTGAGAAAACAATATATATATATATATAGAGAGAGAGAGAGAGAGAGTGGGGCGCACCTTGATTAAAAGGATCTCCGATAATAACTTTCAAAAATAAAATTTTACTTTTTTGTTTTTTTTTGACAAATTAAACCTTTAAAATCATGTTCTAGACAGATAGTAACATAGCATAATATAATTGTGTATATATTATCTACACACACATCACTAATTATTTTATCTCTTTGATAAATATACTATATAAATTTATTTTTAATTAATATCCTTTCTTTCCTAATATAGCATTTAATTACAATGGATTGAACGAGAACTTTATTTCCTTGTGATACTTCTTTTTGTCTTTCTTTTATTAACCTTTGATTTATTTTTTGGACTTTATGAATGTAACAAGGAAAAAGAAAAAAGAAAAACATAGATAAGTGTATGCTTCTTCCTATCCTTAATACAATGCAAACTTAACTAATTTGGTGCTTATCAAAAAATAATAATTATGTTCTTAAAATTGTTTAAAAATATATAAATTCTCAATATTGCCCTTCTTTGCAATTAATTATAACCATAATAAATTATTGTACGAATTAAAATATTAATTAAAAAACAAGATATAAAATTGAAAAAATAACATTAATTATTCTAAATTTGCCTTATATTAAGGACTATAAAAAGCTTTCTAAGTTCATCTTATATAAAAGATTGGAGGAAGTATGCAATTATGACCACTTTCTTTATTAGAGGAACACTCTATTTCTTTTGTAAATGTGGTTTGAAGGGAACAAATAAATTAAAATAACACTAATTTAATTATTTATATATTAACGACTGAGACATATTATTTTTAATAATATCTAACATTATAATGAGACTCAATATTCTCAAGGGTCAAGGCAGGTAATAGATTGAGATTATTAATATATTATATAGGCCAAAATAATGGTCGTCACTTTAATCAATAATTACGCCACTGTCTCGAACTTTACCCTTAAAAAGACAAATTATCATGACTCATTGGTTTCATTGATTGGATTTAAATAATGATACAAAGCTCGATCAGATCGTTCCATTGAAAGTAACAGTTATAATTAACAAAATGATCCTATTCAACTTTTGTTCATTTTTTTAATTTGTGTTCTCTTCATCCATTAAAATCATCACTAATTGGCATGAACTGTATTTCACCGATTAGTTAACCGAATAATATCAATTAATTAAACTAACCACATACGCAAGCGCATGGAAGATATTTTGAAGTTCACAAATCATAGACATGATCATATGAAAGAAAAATAATTTTTGAATATTGATGATCGAAGTGTTTTTAATTAATATGAATGTTAAGCCTTAATATATGAATGTAAAGTCAAAAGAGACTTTGAGTGATACATTGTATTTATTTTATTATTTAAACTTTGTGTGATGCATATGTAGGACGCATACAAATTTTGTTTGACCTAAATTTGAGAGGAGAGATTTTTTCTAAATATGATTGAGCAAGTTGCGTCTCAGGTGATATCGTAATTTAATATTATAGAAATATTTTTTAATTTAAGAAAATATGTTTTATGGTATATAAAGAGGCTTAACAATGATATCTTTTAGGTTTATTCATAATAAACTTATTTATTTGTTTATAAAAACAGAAGCTATGTAAGAACTTTTTTATAATTAATTTCAAATACCAATTATGTGTGCCTAACTATCTGGCAGAAATATGGTCTGAATCTGATTTGTTTCAATTATTCTAATAAACTTCAGAAAAAAATTAATGGAAAATAAAAATGAAGGACGGGGATATGTGGTGGTCCCTGGTCGGTGGCATGTGGCAGCCTCTTATTTGTAAACATATCTGTAAGGAACCTTTGCCACTTAAAATTCCCACCGACCTTTTTTAGAAAAATTAAAAATAAAAAAATGTGGTGACGTAGATTGAAGAATATTTGTAAATATATTTTATAAATTATTTTGGAAGACCACCAAAAACAAGAGAGATAAAGCAAAAAATATTTTAAAATATCATATATATTTACCCGAAGATATAGACAACACCACGACGACGAATGATTATATACTAATGTCAAATAATATCTTTTAAAAATGATTAAGATATATACATAACAATTATAAAATATATTTAGAAAATATTTTAAATAATAATTAATAATAAGACATCGTTATATTATTAGTAGTAAGATCTGAACTCATATATACCATTGTAGGATCAAATTATTATCATTAGATCAACATTTTTTCTTTCTCCGTCGCCATTACATTACATTAAAATTATTCAACTAGCATTCATCTCTTTCCTTCTTGTTGAGAAAGCACGTAACTTTGCCCATGAATAAAGTTATACAAAGCTAGCCCTTTGCTTTTTCATCCTATGGTACTAGGCCGAAAGGCTGAATCCAGCTAATTTTTAAATATTAAGAGGATTTTGAATTTTTTATTTCCATCTACATCCAATTTCATCTTTATCACTTGAGTTAGTCTTAATTAAGTTAACAAACTCACTTTTTATTTAATATTTTTATTAAAAATAAAATTTATTAATTAGTGGTAAGAATTTGCATTACTTCAAAACCGGTTATACATTGCAGCTATAAAAAAATGAAAAAAAAAAAAACAGAGGTGAAGCTTTAAATCTTTGCTCTAATTAAACGTAACTATATGGCTTGGACTTGCAGCTGGGGCTTGTCATTTATTTATTTTATATAAAAAGTTTAAGACTTAAACAATATATATTTTCGGAGGGTTTAAACTTTTAACTTCTACATGCATCATCTTATTATTCTTTTAATTACTTAATATTTTGAAGCTATGATTTAATTTGGTTTTTTTTATAAAACTTTTAAATTAAATTTAAAAAAGTGGTTAAAAAGTCACTACTATAGTTTTTGATTTTCCTAAGTTCCAACAATAAGGTGCTTGACCAAGAACTGTGTGTGTGGTGGGTGTGGGTGTGTGGGTGTGTGTGTGTGTGTGTTTTAGATTGTGCCAGCGTGTGTGCGTGTTAGATTGTGCCAGCTCGGTGTCTATTCATCTGACTCATCAACACGATTTCTTTTCCCCACCCTAATATAGTAAGGACCAATCTTTTTTCTGGCAACAAAAAAAAAAAAAGGACCAATCTTTAATTTTTCTTAAGTATATTAGAAACGCTGTATATCCAATTAGCTAGTTTAATAATATAATTCTTTTAAGTGTTTTTCCCAAGTTGCTTATTCAAGAGCATGTTAAATTTTTTTATTCCACCCAATCATAATTACTTAGCACCAATATCTTAAACAGTCCATTGACGCTGGGACAAACTTACCCAATTTAATATAAAATATTTTTAAAAAAATTAAATATTTAAAAATGTAAGATATTTTTAGTGTTTCAAGATATAATTAATATATTTTCTTAAAAAAAAGTTCTCATAAATTAATTATTTTATATTTATTTTTAAATAAAATATTCTATTAAATAATAGTAAATATAAAAAGATAATATTAATTTAAAAATTATTAACTAATTTATTAAAAATAATATTTTATTAAAAATGTCAGAGGATAAAACTTATTTCAAAAAAGTGATCTCGTCAAAATTTTCATGTGGGGTCCATTCTAAAGGAAAGAAAAAGATTATAATACTAACCCTCGAGACTTTTGCAATTTGCATTGCATGCATGATAGAAATTTTCGTTTCCTTCTCCTTTTTTTATTCTGTATTTACCGACCAATGATGTGACGATTCGTGTCAGGCGAGCTAGCTGGCTTTCCGCATTTTCTCCTTTTATTATAAATTAAAACCTCTTCTCTCCGCAATTCTCAACCACAACGAATAACAAAGCAGTTTCATCTGCAAATTCTGCAAGTTAATCATCGTCAAATGCCTTCATCATGGAGCTCTCATCAGCAGCAACAACCTGGATTTCCTCTGCATCTCTGTGTCTTCCTTCTAACACTGTTCATGTTTCTGGGTTTCTCATGGTACATAAACTACGAGCCAATCATGGAGAGCTTGATGGATCAAGTGAAGATGGTTCTCATGGTGTCGCCTCTCTTGCTTCTTCTCGTCCTTCACTTTCTCTCTAACAGTGATGGATTCTTCTCTTCTCTGATTCCTTTTTCTGATAAAGATTCTCTGCAGAGGGCAGGCGGCACTCCTTGGGGTGTCGGCTTCCTTCTGGTTTTTCTTTTCTTCATGATCTCTTACCAGTCTTCTTTACAAGAACGCTGGTTTCCTCTCTTGGCCCGGTGATGATCAAATATGATGATGATGAAGCTTCTTCTTTCTGTAATTATTGTATTACTGTGTAAGCCTGTGATTGTGATGATGAGCTCTTTCGGTTTTTCCATGAAAGATCTTTAATTCTCTCTTTGTTTACATGACATATGTAGCTTCTGCGTTCTGAGTTTTTTTCTTTTCTTTTTGTATGAGAAAGTTAATTAAGGTGATGTGGCTACTCTGATAGTGGATAGACAAGAAGATATGAAGTACTTGTTTCCAGATTTTGATGTATAAATTTTCGTGTTGGATGAAATTCTTAAAGTTAGTTGTGTTGAAGTTTGGAATTGAATATTAATAATAATATATTAAAATTATCTTCTGATCCTTTGAAAGTAATTTTTTGGTCGGTGTATTATCCACCTAACCTTTAAAATTAAACTCGACAACACAACCTTTTGAGTTTTAAATTCATTTTTTCTATATATATATAGTTTCATGACGGTTTATTTATCTGTTATAAATAATGGGTTATAACATGTAGAGTTTATTTACACATGATTTAAAGATTAGAAGCTATACCAACAAGTCATTTAAAGAGTATCGCCTAAAAAAAAAAAACTATGAAGAGTTATACTCCCTCGGTTAGAAAATATAAAATATTTTTAATTGAATTCAAACTAATATTATCTTTTTATAGTTATTTTATTTAACAGGACATTTTATAATTATATTTTAAAATATTAAAAATGTTTTATATTTTTTTAGTAGTCAACTACTCAAAAAATACAAGCATTTTTTGATGGATGGAGCATTATATTTTGTCAGTGAAATATAAACTAATTGATGACTAGGTTGACTGGATGCTAATAAAAAAAATTATTGGGGTTATCTGTACAAATGGATCAAAGGCAGGGGACTTTATTAAGTTTTAAATATTTACAAGGATTATTTGGACATGACTCAAAATTTAGATATGTTATATGAATAATTTTTTAATAAATTTAATCACATACATATGAAATGTTTTTTTAATGCGGCTTATTGTAAATCCTTTTCAATTTATTTAATTATTTATAAATAAATAAATAACTTACAGTAACACGGTTTTATCAATCTATTTTCATTCGACGTAATTAATAATAAGCATGTTACTATAATTTAGATTAAAACCGTGACCTAGAAAAAATTGTGAAAAAAGTATTAATCAATAATCAATATACATAATAATTAAATTAAAAAGTCAGTCTTTCCTCTTGCTAGTGAAAAGGAGAGCCCTCGGGATGTGGCACAGTATATTCTGAAGAAGATTCTTTTGGGCTCTTCTTTTTCCTTTTTTTCTTTTCTTTTCTTTCTTTCTTTGTTTTTTCTTTTTTCTTTTTTTTTTGTTGAATCAATGTGGTAAAGCTAAAGGTTTGAAAAACACGTGTGTATATTAAGCATCAACACCCCTCAAGTCCGCCTCATGTAATCAGTGGCCTTCGCAAGTTATAAAGTGGAAGGATTTATATATATACCAGGCAGAATATCTTAACATGCCACCAAACTGGAAATTTCACGAGCCTGAGTTTGTCTCTGAAGCCCAAGAATCGAGTGAGTCAATGCCTTAGTTAATGCACATGCAATTTGTTCAAAAGAAGTTGCATATTGAACAGTAGAGATAAAATATGAGCAGACTTAACCCATGTGAACACAGGCCCTTAAATCTAATTTTTTAAAAAATTATTAATTTTTGAAGCTCGTCTTTTATTCAAAGAATTCAAGGTTAAGCCAATATGTCTGTTTTTATTATTTTATTATTTTTTGTATTTTTTAAAAATTAAAAAACTTCAATTATAATATTTTTATTTTTTAAAATACAAATTATAATATTTAAAACCTAAAAAAATAATAGAAATTTTAATTTTAAAGCATTAACATATATTTTAAAATTTAAATTTAAATTAAAAATTGAAAATATTTTATTTTTTAGAGGTAAAATGAAAAAGGAAATAAAATGGCTGTTTGTGCCCAATTACACTTTTCAGAATTTATCAGGGTTGGATTTTAAAATCTAATTTTTATTAAAAAATATTATTTTTTTTTTAACTCTAACTCTTGTCATAATGGGCTTGAATGAGGGGTTCATTAAGTCTGACCTCATTCTCAACTTTATTAAAGGGAGAGCTCACTTGATAACATAACACCATATGTGTCTCGCGCACAGTGAATATCTATCTAACTCTGTGCTTTGTTCGAGTGTGGTAGACTAGACCAGATTCGGTGCTTAAACTATCGCAGCAGGCAATTGGAACTCAACCAAGATGGAGCTCAATCTGAGATATCAGAGATTGATTGTCTAATTTTGTTAAAAAGAATAGTGTTATATAATATAGGAAATGCAGAGAAAAATTGCCATGGCTATGGATGGGAATGCCAAAGTTTTAGTTATATTAATATTTAGTCTTTCAACTTGGGAAATGTATAGGAAATATTCACATTTTTCTGCGGAGCAAATGTTAAGCTTTTGGCTAACAAATGTTGATCCAATAATTATGGATGTGACTGAATAGCTATGTTGATCCGACAACATTAATATTTTTTATCTTTATATTAATTACCTTAAATAAAATAAGTAAAATTAAAATATTAAAATGTGAAAAAGAGCTAAAAAGACAATATTTTTTAATATTTTATAATGTACTCCTTCCATTAAAAAATGTAAGGCATTTTTTGAGAAGTTGGATGAGAAAAAATGTAGGGCATTTTTAGTCTTTTGAGGGATAATTATTGCTTTTTTTTTTTTAAAGTACCTCTATTGATGGTGACTTTATATTTATTATAGAGTAGTTAATATAAATAAATATGAAAAGATAGGGTTAATTTGAAAGTAGATGAAAATTTTATTAGAGGTAAGTTTTAATTAAAAATGCCTTATATTTTTGAATTGAGGGAGTAAAATATTTGCAAACACATGTATTTGTGTTTACTTGTTCTTTTTCCCTTTTTCGGACTGAATTTTTCTATTAGATTTGGACAAATCCGCATACTATTCAAAGTTCAAACAATATGTCCCAATTTACTTACGTGAGATTTTGACATCTCTGCATAACATTCAAAGTTTCAAACAATAGGTTTACGTTTGCATCAAATTTTGTGGACATAAACTAAACATCTCAATTTTGAGTCATTAAGCTCTATCCTAACCTTAGCCAATCCTTCGAGACTTCCCTATTGGCCACACATTCACCTATTCGATATTACCTTCTTATATATATATATATATATATATATATATATATTTTTTTTTTTTTTGTTTTTCAAGTGGGATCGAGTTTATTTGGATCAGATTTAAAATTCTTAAACATATAAAAAAGCCAATATAATTAAACCCAATCATAACACCTTGAGCTTATTCAAACTAATCCGAATATTCAAATTGTTAAATATTATATTTATTATATTTTTCTTTTTTAACCAATTTCAATTTTGTTTTAAAAAATTAAGATTTTTCAATTTATATCTTATTTCAATTTAATTATATCAATAATAAAAAATTTGGATATTTAGACTAATTCCATTTGAGTTGAAGCTTGGCCTAAATTTTTTGAACTTATTCAGGCAATTTGAATAAGCTAGAAGAAAAAAAAATTAATTCCCAAGCTAGATCCCAAGATTTTTTGATCATATTTGGGTTGGTCCATCCACTTAGCTTGGCTGAAATTATTATTATCTCTACTTATATATAACAGATGGATAGATATAGAGAGATAGCTAGAGAGAGAACTATTATAATGCAAAAAAGCATGGACTTCATTACAGGGGAAAGATCAAAGCCATATGTTTTGATGGTCCCATTTTCAATTCAAAGCCATCTAAACAGCTTTCACTAATACAAAATATAAAATTTATGGGGTACTTTTTACATTGGTTAGAAGACAAACGGTGTAAAAAATAAAGGCGGTGGTATTTTTGTAATTATATTGAATTATGTGACACTTTTTACATCGGATGTCCAGGCACCCGGTGTAAAAAGATCACTTTTTACACCTCGGCCGCCCCCCTCCCCCTCCCCCTCCCACTCCCCCTCGTCCCACCGCCCACTCCCCCTCCCCCTCTCCCTTTGCCCACCCCTTTCCTCTCCCGCCCCCTCCCCCTCTTCCTCCCTCTTGCCCCCCTCCACCACTCCTTCTCCCTCCCTCTCAGTGTTGAGTCGTTGTTGTAGCTGTCGCCACCCAGGTATATGTTGAATATAAATTTTTAAAGTTTATAATGTTTAAATTTAGTTTTTAATGATATTGATTATTGCTGAGAGTACTGTTGGTGGCTTCATAAAGCCTCAGGTTGTTGCATGTGATCATTTATTTGGTTTAAAATTGTTAATTTTCTCGTGTAAAATTTTTTAAAACTTTTGGGAAGTCCAATTTTTAGGGGAGACTCTGTCAAAATTTTTTTTAAATTTATTCTTTCCTCTAATTTTCTTAAATTTAGTTTTTAATGATATTGATTGTTGCTGGGAGTGATGTTAGTGGCTTTATAAGGCCTCAGGTTGTTGTATGTGATCATTTATTTGGTTTAAAATTGTCAATTTTTTCTTGTAAATTTTTTTTTAAAGTCTTGGGAGATTCAATTTTCAAAGAAGATTTTGCCGAAATTTTTTCAAATCTTAATTTAATTAGGAACTTAGTTTCTTAAAATAGTTTGAAGATAATAACATTAGTTATATTCTTTAGGAGGTGACACATGAATCGTAATTGGATGAATGCTAGATGAACGAGTGACGAGTATGATAATGGGGTGAAAGAATTTTTGGAATTCGCTAAGAAAAATGCTGTTGACAATAGTGAAAGGTTTTATTGTCCTTGTGTTAATTGTTTGAATGAGAGGAGACTAGGTGTTGCCGAAATAAGAGAGCACTTAGTCTGTGATGGGATTTGCAAAAATTATACAATATGGATTTGGCATGGTAAACGATTGAAAAATTATAGTAACACATCTCAATATGTGGGAGTTGATAATCTTGATGATGAAGTAGAAATAAATGAAGATCGATTAGAGAACATGATCCGTGATGTTGGGGAAGAGGCTTTTGAACGAGCACATGTGTATGATAACTTATGCACTGATGTAGAGAAGCCTCTATACCCGGGGTGCACTGATTTTAATTTGTTATCTGGGGTGTTAAAACTAGTTACCTTAAAGGCAAGAGCTGGGTAGAGTGACCAAAGTTTCACATGGTTGTTAGAGTTACTTCAAATAATATTTCCAAAGGGCAATATACTACCAAATCATTATTATGATGC